AATTGAATACAATAAATATCTAAAAAAAAGTCCTAAGCTTCTATCTTCAAAAATACCAAAGATGGTATTTCTACCAAATACCATTTTCGATCGTTCAGTTTTATGGCAGCTATATGATATAGTCGACCGATCGTTTTGAAATTTGGTAGGTCGGATAAACTGACCAAACAAAAATCTGGCAACTATAGGATATAGTCGGCAAATCCTCATGAAATTTGCCATGTAATATTATTCTGCCAAAAAAAGCTCCCGTGTAAAATTTGACTCTCTAACTTCAAAAACATCAAAGTTATACCACTTCCGATCAATCAATTATATGGCAGCTATAGAATACTTATATACTGCGTGCAAAAGAAAGAAGGGTGTGTGCAAAGTTTCAAGTCGATAGCTTTAAAACTGAGAGACTAGTTTGCGTAGAAACAGACAGACAGACAGACGGACCGACGGACAGCTGGGCAGACGGACTTGCTCATATCAACTCAGGAGGTATTAAAAGGAAGGAAAGCTACATGGATGATACTCCCATGCAGCTAAAACCGGAAACATCGGATATAGTTGGTTGATCCTTATGAGAATATCATAATATAACCAATTTATTACAATAAAGCTACAAAAAAGTCCCAAGCTTCTATCTTCAAAAAAACCAAAGTTGGTATTTTTACCAAATAAAATCGTTCAGTTATATGGCAGCTATAGAATACAGTTGGCTGATCGTTATGAAATTTAGTGGGTCAACTAACCAAAAATAGAATCTGTACAAAGTTCCAACTTTTCATCTTCTAAAACACGAAAGTTGTGTCATTTCCGATCGTTCATTAACATGGCAGCTATAGGATACAGTCGGTCGATCTTTTTGAAATATAGTATTGCTATACATACTATATTTCAAAAAGATTTTGTCAAAAATAGCACTCATGCAAAATCCGAACTCTCTTACAAAAACAACAAAGTTACAGCATTTCCGATCAATGAGTTATATTGCAGCTATAGGATATAGTCGGCCGTTCCGACTTATATACTGCATACAAAGGACAGAAGGGTGGGTGCAAATTTTCAAGTCCATAGCTTTAAAACTGAGAGACTAGTTTGCGGTGAAACAGATAATTATTTTTAATAATTTTTGACTTGTCGAAATAACACAACAAAAAATTAAATCAAAATATCAAGCTCTCAGCTAAAAATATTTAACAAGTTCTACCTCCCTAATAGGGTTTGAACATCGGGCATTGGATTATTTTTTTTTTTTTGTACAAATACCATTATCCTTAATTAGTTTAGTTTTGGTTGCCAAAGGTGTGCCTTAACCTTTCCCCCTGTTGCTCACCTAGGTTTCGTGTTTCAAATGCAAAACCTCTCGCCATGCAGTTAGCCTATTCAAATCGAAAATGTTTATTTTCGTTAATCGAGCTAAGGGTTGTTTTCAGAAGCATATGCCTTTTGATGTGCATGGATACATGACTAGACAGTAGGGTAGATAAAAATGGTCTAAAATACCCACTGATGAGTTGGCAATAATTCGGTTGAGTGGTTTCTGTCAACAGGCAAATAAAAGGTGTTCTATTTGAAGGCGGACAGCATTACACAGTTTGCCGTTGGCTGTGATGGCCTTTTGTTTACACGACTAACATCATCAATTTTTAATTGGGTTAAATTGCTTGGCGATTAACATTTGAAAATAAAACACGCGGATAATTGAGTTTACTTAGTCTAATTAAAAGTGACTTTGTAACTTACTATTTGTGTCCATGGATATAAAATATATTTACTAAATCATCTTATCAATTTTTAATTAGAACAAATTTATTAGAAATTTATCTTACAGACGGTAAAAAAAAAAAAAAATCAAGAAATCATGTTCTACCCAATAAAGTACACAGGGCCGTAGCTAGCATGGGGCAGGTGGGGCGGTGCCCCAGGGCCCCCGAAGGAAAGGGGCCCCACCGGGGCAAAAGACTTCCGTATAGGAGGCCCCAAATTTACTTGTTGCCCCAGGGCCCCCGAGGCTCTAGCTACGGCCCTGAAAGTACATATTCTATAGACTCTATTTTTCCCAGATCCTATCAGCTAAATTTCAGCGAGATATCAAAATTTTACATGTGGACGACATGGTTGTCTATTTGTGAGATTGTTGACCCTAAATAATTCTTTATCTCTCGCAAAACAGAAAACTTTTTTCGTTGGAGCAAGTTAACCCTGTATTTAATTCAAAATTGGAATCGCGTGAAATATCAAATGAAAAATACCTGCTCCTACTTTTCTAAGCAAATCTAAGGCGGAAAACTCAGGCTTTTGAAATTCTTGAATTTATATTTCAATTTGATCAAATATTACTATGTTTATCCGAATCACGAATTCTTAAAAGCGTGATGTACAAATAACCCCTGTTTATGGATCACATATCATCTTGTGATTTGATTTTATTAGAGATGGTCAGACTTTCGCAAGCAGTAAAAAAACCAAGCAACGCGATGGATAAAAATAAATTTTTCTATAATATAAAATAAATTTCCACAATTTAAACTTTTATGCACGGCGTTTCCATTTAATTCAAATCGGTACAAATCGTTATACCACCGATTCGTGCATTAACGAAATGGCGTTTATTCACACACTAATCGGCTGAGATTGTGAAATTAAACCAATTCGGCATCGCATAAGCACAGTATTTCAATTTTTTTTTTCATTCATATGTTAGCTGTTAGTTAATGTTATGTAATAATGTAATAAAGTTAGCTGCTCCATAACCTTTAGGCGTGAACCAATGTACACAACAAACATAAATTTCCGCGGTACACCTAAGAGAAGAAATTGATCAAATTAATTTGCCATATATTGAATTATGTAGACCGTGTAATTGCGTTGACCATCATTGTTTTTGGTACGTATCATTTTGGAAATGTATGTATACCACCTCAAAATATAAAATTCCATCTAGCAGTTACCATATCATTGGAGCACTTATCCAAACTTTGGATTCCAAAGTTGAAATCTTCGGTTTTATCATTTTTTTTCGGACTTCTATGATTTTTCCCCAACAAATATTTTCTATGAAATAACTATGAAATAATAATATATTAGTTATAATAATATAATAAGTTACATAATAAATAATACAATATATTATAACTTGCTGACTCGGCTAAGGTTGTTTTGCCACCAGATGACTTTTTTAATTTCTAAATAATACAAATTATAATATAATTATATAAATTATATAAATTAAATTAACAATATAAGCTATAAAGTGGAGCGCTGTGAACCGCGAGGGAGTATAAAAATAACAAAAGGCCAATATTATTTTTAAGTTATTTGATCGTAATTCAGCAAGTCAATCTCTTAGTTCTATAGCGTAAACAATATTTTTTGTGACGATAGCGTGATTATCGCTTTGTAATTGGTGCATATGTGATTTGAATATTTTCAACAATTCATTGTGCTCGTTCGATAAAGCATCTAGCTTGCTGACGATACGTCTGGCATAAAATGAATCAAGGTTACTATAATCACATCGTGCATTCACGCGATTGGCAAGTGCGCTTCCGGAATCCTCGCCGCCCATAAAGTAGATTTGTAAGAATTTATTTAGCTCGTTTGGAATTGTCAGCGGTGAGCCCATTTTATGATAAATTTAGCCTCTGATTTTGAATGTAGAATTGTAATTTTGACCATTTGCTTTAGTATTTCGAACTATTTTTGTTGCTCCAAACAATGTCATTTGAAATCATGACTTGAATGTTCGAATTGACTGCAGGAACACGTTAGAATCTAGATCCGCGCCGATAAGTAAGCCGTTCAATGGTTCAGGTGGTGTTTCAATTTCTGGTAGATGCACTTTTCCTGAAGCGCAACACATCCCAGCTGACTAATTTTTATACCCTTGCAGAGGGTATTATAATTTTGGTCAAAAGTGTGCAAAGCAGTGAAGGAGACATCTCCGACCCTATAAAGTATATATATTCTTTATCAGGATCACCTCCTGAGTTGATAAAGGCGTGTCTGTCCGTCTGTCCGTCTGTCTGTTTCTACGCAAACTAGTCTCTCAGTTTTAAAGCTATCGACTTAAAACTATGCACACCCTTCATTCCTTTTAGAGTTAGAGAGTTTGAATTTTATATGAATGTTATTTTTGGCGGCATATTACGACAATTATACGACATACTAAATTTCATAAGGATCGGCCGACTATATCCTATAACTGGAATTTTGTGGAAGATTCTATTTTTGGTCAGTTGATCCGAACTACCAAATTTCATATCGATCAGCTGACTATATCTTAAAGCTGTCATATAACTGAACGTAAAAATGCCAACTTTGGTATTTTTGAAGATAGAAGCTTGGGATTTTTTTTTTAAATTTTGTATTCAATTAAATTGGTTACATTATGATATTCTCATAAAGAGCGGCCAACTATATCCGATTTTTGCCATATATATCCGGTTTTAACTGCAAGGCTATATCAACTTCGGCTCCGCCCGAAATTAGCTTTCCTTTCTTGTTTTCTATGGGATTGCCACATGTAAGGTTAAAGGTGACCTTGGTTTTATTAGAAGGGGATACAAAAAATTTAACGACCCCTTCTAATAAAACCAAGGTCACCTTGGTTTATCACCAAAAGTTTGTTTATGTCTTTGGTCCGTTCGATACTGGATCCCACTTAACAAATCGATAATGCTTGGGGTCTTTTCCTACATAAACTTATTAATGGTGATTTCATAGCCATCACTTCACAACACGCTGTCCTTAAAATTTAAAAACATGTATTTTATATGTTCTAATTAATTATTTTTATTTATCTTTCTGTCTTTTCTATTTTAAGCTGTTATACCCTTGCAGTTAAGATCGGATGTGTGTCGCAAATGCCGGTTCCAAGCTTCTATATTGGAATCATTTCCGAGGGTTCCAGGTTAATGCAATATTGTAACGTATTTACGTATTACGCAATTAATATTAACTTTATAGTTGTATCGTTAATGTTTAGTAAGAGAATAAAATTAACTCACCAAAATTATTTTTTTTCAACACTTTTCACCAACTCACCAAAAGGGCCGACACAATGTGATTTTTTTTATGGATTTTTTTCCAATCACCTTATTTAATATTTGTCCTATGCTTTAGATTTTCTTCCCTTGCAAATTGTAGTCAATAAAAAAAAAAAAAATGCAAAATAAAATTAAATTTAGACATAAAACAAGAAAGCAAAGCTAACTTCGGGCGGAGCCGAAGTTGATTACCCTTGCAGTTAAAACCGGATATATATCGCAAACATCGGATATAGTTAGCCGATCCTTATGATTACATCATAATAAAATAAATAAATTACAATAAAAAATCTAAAAAAAAGTCCCAAGCTTCTATCTTTAAAAATACGAAAGTTGATATTTCTACCAAATATAGTCGGCCGATCCTTATGAAATTTGGCATGGCGTATTATTTTGCCAAAAATAGCTCTCATGTCAAATTTCAAGTCTCTAACTCTAAAAACACTAAAGTTATACCATTTCCGATCAATCAGTTATATGGCAGCTATAGGATATAGTTGGCCGATCCCGCCCGTTCCGACTTATATACTGCGTGCAAAGGAAAGAAGGGTGTGTGCAAAGTTTCAAGTCGATAGCTTCAATACTGAGATACTAGTTTGCGTAGAAAGAGACAGACGGACAGACGGACATGCTCATATCAACTCAGGAGGTGATCCTGATCAAGAATATATATACTTTATAGGGTCGGATATGTCTCCTTCACTGCGTGGCACACTTTTGGACAAAATTATAATACCCTGTGCAAGTGTATAATAATTGATTCAGAAGAGGTTTTGAAAAATCAACTGGTTTGGCATGAACTCGTTAAAAATATAGGCAAAATAAGAATTATCACAAAGGCCAAAAATAAGAAAAGTCCTCTGTAGTCGAGTTTCCCGACTATATGATATCCGGTACTCATCCTTTTTTTCATACTTTTTCCATACTTGTATGAAAACAATCACCAATAAGATTGTTTTCTTACTTTTGGGATGTTTTCGAAATAAAAAATGGACCAATCCAGTGAAAAAAAAACAAAAAATCTATATCTCAAAAATTTTCCGATTGTAGATTAGCCATTTGAATAGTTGGGCTCCAAAAAGTTTTTTTTTTAAATACAACACGATTTCTTTTTTGGGGGCAGGTGTGCGAAAAAAAAAAAGTTTAACTTGATCTGCGTAGATACCATACGAAGCTAAGTTCCAAGCAGGAACTTTCACAAGTTCAAAATTAAAACAAGCTGGTTGGGAATCAGGATATAAATGGGTGTAACTGTTCTAAAAATCGACTGATTTGGCGATATTTTGTTTTTATAGATTAAAAAAAAGAAAGATAATTAGATTCAAAATTCTTGAAAATATGTTATTTGAGAAATATGTTGGAGTTGGAGGGTTTGGAGTCGATTCCTTCCCTAAGTTACACACATTTACACAAATACAATATACTTTTGAATTTTTCGAGTACCGAGTACCGAGAATAAACTACTATAAGGAGAAGTCAGACAAATAGACGGACTTAAGCAGACCGACACGGCTGTCGAAACTGGATTATATGAATTTGATTAGTATTCAATAAAAAAAGATCACAATGTAAAATTTAATCTTATACTCTATGAGTACCGGAAATAATTAAATGAACTTCGCATCTTGAAGTAACAACTTTAAATTTTTATGGGAGAGATTACTTGCTTGTTCTTTAAAAAAATCGTAACTAAGATATTTTATAATTGATTTTAAAATTTAAGCAAAATTTATTTTAATGAAGAGGTTTGTCTTCTTTGCATTATTTAAACCCCTTGCATTCTTTGCATTATTTTGCATTTTTTATTTTTTTATATTTAAATTTTATTTGTTCATGTAAAATTATTTGTTTACGTTATTAATAAATATCTTGAAGGTGATTGCATATACCACATTTAAGTACTTCTTTGTAGCAAAAATCAACCGTAATGTTTACATATTTCCGTAAATAAAAAATGTGAACAACTTTCACGTTATAAAATGTTACCGAAAACGAACTATCAAAGAAAATTTTTCTCTGACATTGACAGCCGACCAAAAATTGTAAACAACTACAGTTTGGATGAACTTCTACAAATTCAAAATCGGTAAGAAAATCTGTGCACTTTCTTCCATTTCAATTTTTAACCAATAGGAGTGTGTAAGCAAAAGAACCCCCACACACAAGGGGTGTTTTACAAATTGATGTGAGAGTAAGCCAATAGGATCCGGTCTGTAAATGGGCGTTAACAAGTTAACGCTTCTGCGCCCTTCGAAGTAAAACTCAGAAAATATATTTTGATTGTAGTTACAATTTATTCGAGTAAGTTTCATGTCTTTAAATGGCATGTCTCAGTTTGTAAACCAGCAGATTAAACACTTAATTTTAAATTATTAAATTTTTAACTGGAAAGCTAACTTTGTAAAGAACCGAAGTTAAAATATGTCAGATATAGTGCTAACCAGATCTATAGTTTATGAGAATTTCATAACAAAACAAATATATTAGATTACTAAGTTTAAAAAAAGTTTAAAAAAAAGCCCGCAGTCTCATTTCCGATCGTTCTATAGAATCTATAGGATATAAGGATATATTATATATGTATATCTGTAAAAAGTGTCAACCGTTAAATTTGTCAACTTTAAATTTTTACGGTATGGATTCTCTGTAAAAAATTTTTAGTGCAAAAGAAAACAACTAACTGAATCACCTACTGATTCAGTAGGGAAAGCGACTAAAAAGCCTATAACTCCTGTAACAATTATCCGATTTGGAAAATTTTTTATTATTACGTTAAGATTAGCCATTTAAACAGTTTGGAATGAAAATTTTTTCAAAAAACATTAACAAACTGGCGCTACAACCAAATTTCTGTTTTGGGGGTGGTAATGGGCTCGATAAACCTATCAGAATACTAGGGGGCTACGTAGCAAACTCCTCAAGCTATATTCTGATAGTTCTTTTTTTGCATTCCATATAATAGCATTTACAGAAACTTGGTTAAATCCGGAGATCTTTAGCTCCGAAGTTTTTCCAAGTAAGTACACCACTTTTAGACGGTATCGATCTCAGCGAAGAGGAGGTGGAGTCCTCATTTTGGTAGACTCTACTCTTGCTTCTGAAGAGGTGAAATCCCATGAGTTTGGTGACATAGAATTTATTTGCGTTAAAATCACTATGTCCGTGAAAGCTTTATACATCACATGTTCATATATACCTCCTATGTCTGAACCGCCTACAAATTGGCAGCATTTGTCCGCTATTCGATACGTCTCTAATCTTATGACGGATCGTGACCAACTCGTAGCGGTGGGCGACTTTAATATCCCAGAATTTGTCGCTATTTTTAAATGAATAAATCAATCACTTCCAATCAACATAGAACAAGCTTGACTAGCACGTTTTTATCCTTTAAGGATACACTATGAATATCCTTGATGATTTTTAATTATACCCTTGCAGAGGGTATTATAATTTTGGTCAAAAGTGTGCAACGCAGTGAAGGAGACATCTCCGACCCTATAAAGTATATACATTCTTGATCAGGATCACCTCCTGAGTTGATATGAGCATGTCCGTCTGTCCGTCTGTCCGTCTGTCTGTTTCTACGCAAACTAGTCTCTCAGTTTTAAAGCTATCGACTTGAAACTTTGCACACACCCTTCTTTTCTTTGCACGCAGTATATAAGTCGGAACGGCCGGGATCGGCCGACTATATCCTATAGCTGCCATATAACTGATTGATCGGAAATGGTATAACTTTGGTGTTTTTAGAGTTAGAGAGTTCAAATTTGACATGAGAGCTATTTTTGGCAAAATATTACGACATGCCAAATTTCATAAGGATCGGCTGACTATATCCTATAGCTGCCATATAACTGAACGATCGGAAATGACCCAACTTTCGTGTTTTTGAAGATAGAAAGCTGGAACTTGGTACGCATTCTATATTTGGTCAGTTAATCCGACCTACAAAATTTCATTAGGATCGGCCGACTATATCCTATACGATCGGTTGACTATATCTTATAGCTGACATATAACTGTACGATCGGAAATGGTTTTTGGTAGAAATATCAACTTTCGTATTTTTGAAGATAGAAACTTGGGACTATATTTTAGATTTTTTATTGTAATTAATTGGTTTTATTATGATGTAATCATAAGGGTCGGCCAACTATATCCGATGTTTGCGATATATATCCGGTTTTAGCTGCAAGGGTATATCAACTTCGGCTCCGCCCGAAGTTAGCTTTGCTTTCTTGTTATACCCTTGCAGAGGGTATTATAATTTTGTCCAAAAGTGTGCAACGCAGTGAAGGAGACATCTCCGACCCTATAAAGTATATATATTCTTGATCAGGATCACCTCCTGAGTTGATATGAGCATGTTCGTCTGTCCGTCTGTCTGTTTCTACGCAAACTAGTCTCTCAGTTTTAAAGCTATCGACTTGAAACTTTGCACACACCCTTCTTTCCTTTGCACGCAGTATATAAGTCGGAACGGCCCGGATCGGCCGACTATATCCTATAGCTGCCATATAACTGATTGATCGGGAATGGTATAACTTTGGTGTTTTTAGAGTTAGAGAGTTCAAATTTGACATGAGAGCTATTTTTGGCAAAATATTACGACATGCCAAATTTCATAAGGATCGGCTGACTATATCCTATAGCTGCCATATAACTGAACGATCGGAAATGACCCAACTTTCGTGTTTTTGAAGATAGAAAGCTGGAACTTGGTACGCATTCTATATTTGGTCAGTTAATCCGACCTACAAAATTTCATTAGGATCGGCCGACTATATCCTATACGATCGGTTGACTATATCTTATAGCTGACATATAACTGTACGATCGGAAATGGTTTTTGGTAGAAATATCAACTTTCGTATTTTTGAAGATAGAAACTTGGGACTATATTTTAGATTTTTTATTGTAATTAATTGGTTTTATTATGATGTAATCATAAGGGTCGGCCAACTATATCCGATGTTTGCGATATATATCCGGTTTTAGCTGCAAGGGTATATCAACTTCGGCTCCG